TTGAGTTGGGGAAGATGATGGGTTTGGATTTGAGGTTGGTTTCGGAGTAGTTGGATTTGATGGAGTTTGCGATGATGATTGGGTTGGAGTTGATGTATCGCAAGGTTTTGAAGTTGGTGTTAACGCTTGAGTTGGGGAAGGTGATGGGTTTGAATTTGACGTTGGTTTCGGAGTAGTTGGATTTGATGGAGCTAATGTCGCACATAGAGTTGTAGAAGGACTTATAGTAGAAGGTGTTGGAGTGGTATATGAATTACATCCTCGACAACACACACTGCAGTCACATTCGCAACTGGTTTTGAGAAAATAAGACCTTTCTTTCGAGCAACCAGTGCGTGATGGATAGTCACATACTTCTTCTTGAGCGTTAAAAGCTAATCCACTAGGGCATTTCTGAACACGTCCAAATGATGTATTAATACATTGCACAAATTTGGAACAATCGGTCGGATGAGCTAGCCTTCTTCCCTGCACCTCTTTTATGCATCGCGTTTCCTGCACATTACCTCCTTCTGCAGCTAGCACAAAGATAGCTAGCGTTATCACTGCAATAACAATACACGCACTTTTATTGAAAACTCATAAGTTGAGCAATATTAAACAAACCTCTTAACATCCTTATAAATTAAATTTAGTTCAGGAAAATATACTGCTGTGGCAGAAGACAAACCTTTATTGCTTCATATAGGGCCAAATTCCATTTATATATTGGTAGAAAATCTTGTTTAAATCTAATTAAATTACAACTGTTTGTAATTGTACTGAACGAGGATGCATGTATATGCATACATTCTGGTGTGTATATACCATGGCAAACATTACTTTATCGAACCTTATCGAGATTGCAACGAGCAGCATCAAAGATTGCTATCATAATGTCAATTGTTTTTTGCAACTTAATGATAATGTCTGCACTGACACAATGCCCTTTTATATTTTAGCAATTTTTGCATCTTCTTAGCAAAATTTTCTTAATTACTTTTTATCGTTGATTAAGTTATTTTTTGAAATTTAATTCCTCCTCTTGGCACAGTTTTCTGAAAAACGTATCCTTACATACATTGGATCATTTCGTTAACTCTCGTTATTTTCGTGTCATTATGTGTAATTTCTAAATATTCTGTTTAATAAAATGTTGGACAATATCAGACTTATTTCTTTAATCTTTTAATATAATAACCGTTCATAATCGTGCAATCTATTGTTTAACATGTAATGAAAAAGAGATATAGCAGAGTAAAATTAATTAGAACTTGGCCAATCGCAAACATTATGTACTGAACTAAAAACTAAGCCCGAAGGGCATGGCCTTTGAATTCCACATTCACACTGACAAACTATGTAACCATTTGATCTAGAATCAGGGAACATAGCGCCATCAGGCTGATTTTCACATACTCCTTTATTGTTGCATGTGGTACCAGATGGCCCAGTGGCTGGGCCACTTACTGTGGTAGACGTGGATTCAGTGGTTATATCAGAAGTAGTTGATGGTAGAGTTAAAGGCGACGAACTTGATGGTGTTGTTGTTGCACCTTGAGTGGTTATATCAGAAGTAGTTGACGATGGAGTTGAAGGCGACGAACTTAATGGTGTTGATGATGTACCTTGAGTAGTTATTTCAGAAGTAGTTGATGGTGGAGTTGAAGGCGACGAACTTAATGGTGTTGTTGTTGTACCTTGAGTGATTATATTTGTTGGAGTGCTAGAAGTTCCCGGTGAATCTGTATTTTCAAGAGGCCAATCGCAAACATTTACCTCTGGATTAAAAACTATGCCAGAAGGGCAAGGCATTGATATTTCACATTCGCACTGACACACTATGTAACCATTTGATCCGGAATCAAGAAACATGGCACCATCGGGCTGATTTTCACAGACTCCCTTGTTATTGCATGTAGAACCGGATGGTCCGGTAGCTGGACCACTTAGTCCTTGCAATAAATCATCTATTGCGTTATTTCCAATGGCATATAATGCACATAATAAAATTCTAAATATTACTGTAAATATAAATTTTAGTTTACAATCAAATCCTGAGGTATTTGTAAATAGAAAACAAAGTTTCTACCGTTTCGCATTTATATTGCTCTTAATAGCGTTCTGAAGATGTTAAGCGACCTAGGAATCTTTGTAGACTGATTACTTTGCCAATAAGTTTCTAAGTAATAAATACTAAACCAATCGCTCATAGTATAAAAGTAATGAGATCTCAAATGTACATATATTACGCTTTGAAAAATCAACGCTCTTTTAATAAGTATAAGTAATATGCAATTCTTAACCACATGGGATATACTCGTACCACTGCTGAATGGGACATGTATATGAAATAATATTGTATATGGTACTTGCATATACACTTGTGGTAAATGCAGATGGATATCTTTTCGCGCGAATTATGAACTTGCATATAAGCATTTTTTATATGTTATATTTATAAAACTAATTACCTTGAATAAGCCCGCAATCCAAGAAAAATAAACGAACGAACGGCTGTGATTTGAAATAACCTGGCTAGTATTGGAGGATTGAAAGAAGATCGAATTATTTACAGTTACTATGGAACAAATTATTTTAGTTAATTAATTAATTTTACAGTAAGGGTTAGATATTCTTATACACATACTTGTATGTATGTATATATACAGTATAAGTACCATCATTAAGACTATCTTATCGTTGCCAAATTTTTTTATTTGATAACCGTTTTACTGCCAATCAATTTGAGAACATTTAATAAAGACTTAAATTAATGCTGAAAATATTGACATATAGTAATTATATATATTATGTCCAAAATTAAGTGTCATTAAACGTTGAAATAATTTCACTACAAATAGTTAGCGTTTAGATAGTTACTAATGCTACAGAATAATATGTTACATAAAATTCATGAAAATTTATTGATAAAAGCATCGTTATCATTCTGATAAATAGTGGCGAGTATGCACACAGTAACTGATTCTAAGACCTAAAACTAATCGAAATAAATATAGAGACGTACCTATCAAAATAATAAAGATGACGAGATGAAATGATTTTCAGATGTCTGTCTATCCATAAAAGTGATAACAATTTCAATCTCTTGAAACTGGTTATGTGTTTTCTTTGGGACTCTGAGAAGGTTTGTACATCCAATTTAGTAACAAATTTCAAAACTGATGTAGGGCTGATATTGTGTAGCGAATAGTCGAAATCGGTCCAGACAGATCCGATTAATATATGAACCAGCGCGTTTTCTTAAGCATAACATAGCGTGATAAGAATGTACGATTGTACAGATGTATCTTGCCCCTCTCCTATACCCAGTACAAAGATTTCGATCCTTTAACTCTCATATAGTAAACCTGATATAATTAATTTAGTAGCCCTGCTTGTCTTTTCACAGTTTATATCGGTCGAATAATATAATTTCCCTAGCTGACGGTATATAAGACCGATTATAATGATTTAGACCCCTTTGGTTGACTTTATACCGTACATATATTGCGAGATATCTCAATAAATTTCAGCTAGAATATTTCGCTTTCCATATTTCGGTTCCAATAATGAATTGAATCAGTTCGGGCCTTCCCTCATAACTCATTCGCTTAAACTACTAATTTTAGTTAGTCTGGTTAAATATCTACCATAAATTAAATAAGTCATTTTGACGGAATTTGGTGGTGGGTGACCTATGAAATCAGTTGATTTTGTATTAAAAATGCGCATATTTGTATATTATTAAAACTTGTATATTTTATTAAAACTAATGCCCCAAACTATACGTTATTTTGATACCAAATAAATGCTTCTTACCTATTTTTATTTGATTTATTGCATTTTAAGGCACTGTGACCTCAAATAAAAATAAAAATAAACTTCCAATCAGTAAATGATTGTAGACAGACGGAGACTATAACTATAAAGAAACGTATCACGTTCGTGAATTTTAAATCCCAGAAAGTCAAACGTGTACTCAGTTTCAAGATGTTTGACTAGACTTGGTTTATAATTCACTGAAAAGCCATCAGTTATTATTGATTTAAATTTAGGAAAGTTTATGCATACTTATTTTGTTCGTGATAAAGTACACATGGCATTTTTATTTACTATTCATATTCATAGAATTACTGAAGTAAAAATTTCTAATTAATAAAGATGGCAACAGAGACTGTGATGTGTCCAATTATTTTTGCGAGATTTTAAAACTGATAAAATTGAAAGAGATAAGAAAGACATACATTTATACAAATGACCTTGTATCACAAACGCTCTGGCTTCCTTCTACGCGCATTCAGCATTGGGCTTCCCGCTTGGGTGGTTAGGTTCAAGTTGGCTGTCAACGAAGTCATCTAACAGCAGGCCCAAGAAATGTGTTGTTTCGACGGGTTCGAACCATTGGGAGAGGGATGTTAGATGGATGGGATTCATTGGGCATGCAACGCGGTGGTTAGAGTCATGCGGGAACTCTTTGTACGCGGGACATCTATTTAGTATGTCGCGATCAATGATAGTAAGAGTCTGGATAAGTAAGAGTTTAACCTGCTACAGTATCCAGAACCGAGTTGCACAAAGGTTTGCTGGTCGAAATAGACGGTGATTGATCTATCGTTTAATATTTCTTTTTCCCCGAGCAGTGAAGAAATATTAGACCTTTTTTTTACGTTATGTTTATAAGCGGGGTTTAAGCTATGCGGTGGCCTGGTCGAATTCATATCATACGACAGCAGCATTGTCATCATGTCACTTCTGCAGCCTGTTCTGAAAATATTAGTAAATATCAGAAATTGTCTGACAAGTGTGTGAATTCTGAAGCAATTCGTTGTAATCCGATTCTAAACAGGTTTAGAGCAAATGTTACAGCGATAAAAAGAGCATTGATCAACATATTAGCAATGGCCAAGGCTCCAAGAAGTATGAGCGCAGCATCACGAATTCGTTAAAATAACAAACCTGGAATACTGAATTATACTGCATTTTCAATTTAAATTCTAAATAAACAAATTTTGCGATTTATTATTGTTAACAAACTACTGCTTATAATAAATTGAATTTGTTGACTGTACACAATATTCACAGATATGATTATCAAAATACATGCCATTACATGTAATGCAGTTTTTAAATTAATGACACTAAATATATCTATGCATATATAATAGAATGGTTATATATTATAGTGTAGTTAATACAATAGAATATGTGTTAGAATTCATGAAATACCAATTTTAGTATTATTTTCGGAGTAATTGTTAAATAAACAGAGGATTGAACACGTAATCAAGGTAATGTAATTTATTCAGAAGCCAGTAAAAATTTTTAAAAATATGTTTATAAAATATAAAATTAAAATGTCAAATTAGCGGTTGCTGAATCTTTTTTCAACCATGGCCGCGCACATTAGTAATTAAATATTTATTATAGTAAATTAATATTTATTATAGTAATTAAATATTTATTATTATATCAAATACAATGTTATACATTTTTATATTTAATTTCAATTATTTTTCTATATGTGTTTAATGTTAGTATTTACGCATGTTAATAGTATATTCAAAGAGTATATTGATACAAATTTATTAATTAAGAATGATTACAATAATAATTCATTTAGGAATTCATAATTTGTATTATACATATTTTATCTAATTCTATTTGCGTTAATATTTCTTCGTTCAAACTAAATTCACCAAGTAATAACACTGTTTTCATTTTTATTGTTCAATTCTAAACTGTGTACGCTACAAAAAATAATTACATTTATTTATTAAGTAACTTAAACTTATGGCCCAAACAAATACTTCCTTTTTTGATCATCGATGTATTCTTGAGTAGATAATTGTATAGCACGTTGTAGCATTTCTGATTCGCTTAACTGGCCAAAACCTGCTAAAGCGAAAAATCACTAAGCTGTTTTTAAACCGTTAATAATTTAATTGCTATACTAACCATCTGTTGCGTATGAAGCTTCCAAAAGCTCTTGATAAAAATTCGAAGATTCTTGATTGTCGACAGATTGGCTTGAGCTCTCTGTTGAAGATTTCGACAAAGGTAAGGTACATTTTGAAGTAGATGCTGATAGCATATCTAATAAATTATCACGAGCATTCAAAAAATCCTTTTCAGGGGTTGTAGTGCACGATTGTTTTGATGTGCAAGGCTGCTGCTCACCCTCTGGAGTATGTGATCGCATCAAAGGCGCATCCCCCTCGTTTTCATATTTCGGACTTTTTCCTATCCCACGCGTAGTTGCCGCAACACTATATAAAGTTAATATTTATAAACCAATGCCAATGATTTTAATTCCATTAAAATGAGCAGTTCTTAAAATCCTCACCTCTTCCCTTTGGCTATGACCACCGGTTCACGACGTCGTTTTTTCCCACCGGCCCGCAAATTAGCATTACGCTTTTTCAATACTTTTAAATTCCCAGCACTATTACCCCCACTACCTATTCCGATTGAGCTTGTACTACTTATATCCGTATCATCACTATCTAATTCCCATTCACCGACGGAATGTGGCGACGTTGTATTTTTATTTACACTGTGAGCTATAATATTTAATGATTTTGGGGACAAGCCACGATTATGCTCCAAATTTGGTGGTGTATCTGTCGTATCGACGCTTGCACTTAAGTTGCGTTCAAATGCCTTTGTTGTCTTTGTTGTAGAGTCAGTATGTGTCGCCTTATCAATGTCAGTATGTGCAGAATTGTTACTGCAGTTGCTTGTGTTAGTATTCAAATCACTAGAATTATTGTGTTTAACAGAATATTTTGAAGGAGATGCTTCCGAATCTGAAGCAACTTCAGCAGATGTTACAGTAGCTGATGTGGATGCCGCAGTAGCGTTAATACGACTTTTGTGCAAATTTTCTCGGCACCACTGTAAATAAGATTCTCGTGCAATTTGTTCTTCTATAGCCTCGTTCGTAGCTTCCCAATCAGTTGTTTTCAGTTTATCTTCAAACATTGTCTATTATTATGAAAGAACCGAAAAATGTATTAAATGTAGGGATTAAAAAAGGGTGTATTTTATACATTTCTCTTCATTTTACCTGTTCAATTTCCATTTGTTCACTCAAGAGCACAGCTTCTTTTGTTTGCAGGTCAGGCTTATGACCAGCTAAGCCTAAACCAACACCAACAGTTGCATTGTATGGATCGAGAATTGCATTATAATGCGAACCACGTTGATAGGATAGACGCAGTGCTGCAAAACCCTTATTCAATTGCTCAGAATTGAAAATATTTATGGGAGCTAAGTCAAATAAAAAATATTTTATTAAAGTAAATCTAATTTAACCAATATATACGTACTTGGCTTGTATGAATAAACTTCAACTGGACGATTATATATTTCCGACATAGCTTGTATTTCTATATGATTACCATGAGAATCCTTTCGCCGTTTTCGTTTAATGTAACTATTTATATCTTCAGTGACAAAGTGTGAAAAATATTCTCGATTTTTGTACTAAAAGTGAAAAGAATATTGCATGATTTGATTGAACTATTTCTCGACTACGGCTTACAATGTAATCCATCGTATGCTGGCGTACTACGTCGTGCATTTCCTCATCACCATAAATTTGTAATGAGATAGATCGAAATAAACAAGCACCATCTTCCTCAACTGGTCGTAGCTCGTACCCGCGTCCAGCCATACATTTTGCAAACTGTTCATCGCGTTGCTGCCACTCATCGGCAGTAATAGCATCTTCTTTGGGCCGCAAGTGCTCATCACCACTATTGTAACCAGAATAAGTTTCTTCGACTGCTTTTAGCAAATTAGCCGCCGCTTGTGTAGTCGATGTTGATAATTTGGGACTCTGACAACTAAGTACAACTGATCCAGTACCGAGTTGATCAGCTGAATTTTCAACCGTTTCAACTGTCGCTGTACTGGCACTGGTACCCATTACATTTTTTCCTACGGGAGTGCTAACAATGTTGTTAACAGCAGCACCTGTACTTGAAGGTACATTACTATGAACATGCGGGCTGCTACATTTGTTAGAGCCGGTATTATTTGAAACGCTTACTGTGGAAAGTTTTTCTCTTTCTACGCGTTCCCGTTTATGTATATGGTCATGGTGATCTCGACGCTTGGAACGCGAGCTAATAAAAGATAAATTGCAGAACTGAAAAAATAACTAATTTGCGTATTATTTTTAATCACCTTTTATGTGGGCTACGACGATTACGGGCTATGTCGTCGAAGACTTCAACTCTTCGCTGCGGGCTCTGAATTTATGAAAGATGAATGAAAATGTAATAAATGTTTATGAATTCTTTTAATCACAATGGATATCGTAAAAAATCTTGTGTAAAAATGGATTCGTAATAAATAATATTTTTAAAATTGAATATCTTATTTCCTTACCTGCCCGGCCCGACATTGACCATGTGTATTAGCGTTTCGAGTACTGTTTTGGCTATGACTGTTGATTGGTTCAACCACATTATGAACAAGTCCATGAGTATGAGTCCCATGTTGATGTGGAGTATGTGTATGGCTATGACTATGCGTTTCTTTCTTTTCGTCTGAAGCCGCACGTTTCTGCGTTGGTGAAATTATAGGTTTGATAGTCATTGTAGCTTTATATTTTGTTAATAACTAAGAAAAAGTTCGCAAGTTGCAGAAGTTTCCAGTATGTTTGTCTATTTATAGTATTTCCATGAGTATACTTCACAGTAATGACTACGTAACACTATTGTTGTTGCAATTGTTATTTTCGCGATTAATGCACTTTGGTATTACCGTTTTTTTGTAGTTTTAATTTGCAATTTTTCTGTTTTTCGCTCTTAATCTGAGCGTCATAGTTATGATCAATTATGTACATATGTATTACGTTATTACAAAATTAACATATCTTTTATGGTTTACTATGGAAAACGCATATCAAACACTCAGAAGTCACTCATTTGGTTAAACCTTCATTTTATTCACAGGTGATCGAAATTACGTCTTTGTTAGCTAAAACATATGCATGTATATATAACACTTAAGAATCAGTTGAAAAACTTTAGCTTTCTTGAAAATGTTTGCAATATTGTAAAAGGTACTAGAATTTTTAATGGATAGATCTGCTAATTATTTTTTCACGTTTTAACACGATTTTAGAAGTCTAGTGGCAAAGAAAAATTTTTCAATATATTTCTTTTACGTAGTTTTCTACTTTCTGTATGTTATTCTTCTGTTTTGCCTTAGTATTTCAACGCAGCTGTGTTTATAGTTTATTAGCCTTGCCACTGTAACACATTTTATAAAAAAAAAAATATTTAATGGCAGCACTATAAATGTTATGAAATTTAGTACAAATGGAAATCGTTGAGCGATAGCACGATGAAGTCAATGACATATTCCAAAAACTGGGGCTTTAAATTATCGGTAATCGTACAATGTAGTGGAAAATAGCTATATTATATCATTACATTGAGATACTGTTATTCTTATTTTCACTACTTACCACAATAGCTTTTATATTAAAAACGTTTCTTATACCTTAATACTTTTAAATATTGTTTTTTTATTTTTTATTTCTTTTTTAATGGCTTGCTTTAATAGATTCTTGGGGTTAATTCAAACACGTCTTGAAGCAAAAACTTCATTTTCATTCGGAGTAATAGATTCACATAAACATACATACATATTAGTATACCATAAAACTATCCTTAACTGTTAATTTAGTCACCCAAATTAATGTATTGATATTATTCAATTGTTTTTTCATAAATGTTTGCTTTTATAACCTGGCATATTTATCTAGTTTTATCAGTTTTCTCTCATAAAATATATGCACAATTTTTATTATTAAAATATTTGATTTCTTTATTTACTTCAAAAATGTTATATGATTAGTTAAAATAATTTCATACATTTCACATACATATACATATAATGAATTATTATTTACTATTTGTGTAAATCATAGTAAATTTGTTACTTTTAAGTTTATATATCGAATATATATGTACATATCATCATCATCAACATTATTGCATTTGGTTTAGCTTTCTTGTTTTTTATTATACATACAAAAATACATTCCTTATATTGCATTCTATTAGATTTATTTTTTATACTTATTTCATATAATGTTGGTAGAAATTATTATTATTAATAGTTATTTTTTAATTTCACATACAATCTCTATTTTGTGTTATTTACAATGAAGTAATGTGTTGAATAAGTACGATATTCTATTTTAATTACATACATATTAAATATTTTCACATGAGGCGAATCGGTAAATACAGCTGTTGTATGCGACATAGCGATTTTTCTTCAGTCCTTGCCAATGTTCTATACAATACATTTAATTATTTTATTCTCATAAGGTTTTACTTATTTGTTCGGCGGCGTATGATGTTCATTATTATTTGCATAAGTCATTTTTGTTCCAAAATGTTATAAAAAAATTACAGATGAATTTTCCAAACAATAATAATAACATGAAGCATAGAGTAATATATTGCATGAGTTTCGCAAGTGCAATATTAGGTCTAAAATACACACAAATTCTTTCGATAGATGTGTTTATAATAATACTCAAGAAAACACAAAAACATAATTTAAGCAAAACCCAGCCCAGCTGCAGGTTATAATTTTAAAATTTAGTTTATCTTAATTTAGTCTCCAGCAATTATTAATAATCAATATTGAATTTCAACTGACTTTACAAAAATCATTGCCGCCATTGGGCTAATTAAGCATTTGCTGTTGTTGCTGTTGTGTTACCACAACATGTTGCATTTGTTGTGTATGCATCTGTTGCTGGAGCTGTTGTTGTTGTTGTTGTTGTTGTTGCTGCTGCTGCTGCTGCTGCTGTTGCTGGTTACTTGAATGTTGTTGCTGCGCCGAACTTGACGACTGGGGTTGCACCTCAGTAATTGTTGTCACAGTGATTGGTTGTAGCATACTGGTTCCATGCTCACTTTCATTCTGCATGCTAAGCTCAGCTTTTACGCGGCGTGCAATATGAGAACGTGTGTGTTTTCTCAGATGATCTTTGCGGTAGAAACCTTTACCACATTCGTGACATAAGTGACGTTTTTCTCCCGAATGTATCACAAAGTGCAAACTCAATTGTTCTTTCCGTTTAAATGCCTTCAAACAGACTGTACATATATAGGGTCTTTCTGGATTATGAGACTGTTTATGACGTGTCAGATGATCTTTGCGCTTCAAGGCCGCCTGACAAATATCGCAGATATAGCGTCTCTCAAGATTGTGTCCTACCAAATGTATTTCGAGCAAGTCCGGTTCGGGATATGCCACCTGGCATTCGGGGCACAAATATAAAGGGCTTCCATCCAGAGCTGTTGTAAGCCGAATTTCGCCGGGTCTCAATTTTGGCTTACGATCCTTAGGACGTTTTTTTCGTTTCTTCTTTTTCGATGTATTAGTTGCACTTATAGCTGAGGTTGGGGCCATTGCAACAGCGTCGCTAGTCGACGGATCCGCTTGTAGGTGTACCGTTGTTGCTCCTTGATGCTGTTGTTGTTGCTGTATTTGTGCCTCCGTTTGTTGTTGAGGTATTGTAATGGTTGTTGTACCGCCAATGGTATTGATGCCAATAGGTGCTCCCGTTTGTACCTGTAAAACATGTTAGACCAAGAACATTCCTCTTTTATCAATAACTGTACCACTACAAATATTGCAAATTTATTACATATAAATACATATACAAAGGTTTTTATCTTATACTTACTACACCCTGATTTTCTTTCTTTATCGTTTCGGCCGAATACTTGAGGAAATGATGTAGCGACAATGGTAGTGTGTTTGCTGGAAGATGGGAGAGGTAATCAGCTACTGTGGTACCTGGTGTTAGCGATTGCCATGAGGTATTTTGTAGAACTACAGAAACATTGGTGAGGGGAAGAAATGTTAATCACAACCAATACTTCAGTCTGTAATACGAAATTACGAATTGTTAATATGTCGGTTTAAATTTAGCTGACAAGTACTTTATGGTTTTAGCTTTATCCCTCTATTCCGTGTAAGAACAAATTTCTATTAAATAAAAATTTCATTACAGTGATAACAAGAAAAGTCTAAATGTGACCAAATCCAATTGTGAAATTGCTCTGTTTGGCAAAGCTATCTGGGCCTTTACATCTTTTACTTAAATATGGGTATACTGGTTTCCAAATCCACCAAACGGCGTACCCATGACGTAAAACTTGTTTGAGTATGATGAATCTAATTGTACTGCATAGAAAGTAACTACTGTATCTCATCTAAAAAAAATTAAAACAGTGGAATTCTATGAACTCGGATACTGGAAATTTCGCGAATACGAGAGCTAACCGATCTGTACTATAGCATTCAATTCGCTCAAAATAGGTTTACTCACTAAGCGTCTCGATTGTCGTTGAAAAATTTCCCCGATAGAGCGAATTTCGGTTAATTGATCATTCTTAGTGAAAATTACTGCAGCAACCAATTATTTCAGTTCTGTCCCAATTTTAACTCACCAAGCTTTGTATCCACACCTTGTTGTTGTAAAATGGCGTTACACAAGTCCTGTGTTAACTCTTGTGGTCCAGACACTTGTTGTTGTTGCACATGCAGCTGATGTTGCTGCGTAGTATTTGTTACCGCTACACCTGCTGCCGCTGCCGTTGACGAGGAAGCGGTAATCGTATTTTGTGGATACGCAATCGCTGCTGTAATCAAATGTTTATCATCCGCCTGTTGGGTAGTGTACGTCGGTATGTTACCATATTGTGGCTGTTGCTGTGCGCCGCTGGTACCTGCTGTTTCTATAGTCACCAAATGTCCATTGTATTTATCCCCTTGTGGCTCATCGCCCGAGGTGCGGAACTTTGTATGTATGGCGGTGACGGTTGTTCCAGTAGCGATCGGTAGTGCTGGTTGATTAAAGTGTGTCATACTTACGTTGGCAGAGGATTGTTGCTGTTGTTGCTGTGACTGCTGCTGCTGTGTTTGGTAACGCGCACTTGTGGAGGCAGTTTCCTCCTGCTGCGTTGCACCTTGCGACGTTATAGTGGCAACCGCTGCCGCTGAGGTAACAGTCGAAACTTTTGGCGCTGCTGTTGTCGTGAACTGCGGCAACCCAGGAATAGTGGTTGTACCGGGGAAAGTATTACCGAATGGCGAAAAGTTCATTGCGACCCGAAAATAACGATATTTTTGAATAATTCTGTAAAGGATTTACTTCTTTCCTGTATAGTGGCAATTCTATTCCAAATACTCAATTTACGGAATAAGCGCTTTGATGCTAATGAATGTGGTGTCTGGAAAAATGATGGCATTCAAAAGAAAGCATTAGTGAATGCCAACAAGTTTCTATATAATTTCAAATGTATAATATATTTATATGCATTCTCTTAACATATTTTTCGCAGCTATTTATGTAAAAATTTTGTATAAATTTGAGATTTCTACTTTTAAATATATATAAACATAATAATATAATAATCTGGACAAGCACTAAATGTGTTGAAAACATGGATATTGTCATGAGCTGCTTTTTCAAAAGTCAAATGTGCCAATAACGACTGCTACTAATGTCAAAGAAGTCTAATAAAAAACAACTATTTTATAACTTGTGAACCATGCATAATAAACTCAACCAAAAAATAACGTCACAGTAATGAATACATGTTTACAAATAGCGCGGAAACCATTAGAGGAGATTTTCTAAAACTGTTGAGAGCACAATAGGGTTGAAGTGCAATTTACGATGCGCATGACCAAACCAAAACGGTTTCAGAATTAAGCATCAGTGCGGTGAGAGGTAGTCAGATATAAGATAGTGATGAGTGTCGGAATGTGTTGCAAGCAAAAAACATTTAATTTAACCGCATACTCTTACTTCTGAGTGCACTAAATGAAAACAGATGATGACATGGCAGAGGTATTCTCACTCGTACTATAAAAATATTGTTTATTAAAAGAATTGATGCAAATATATAATTAAAAAGTGTAAAAGATTAAATAAAGTCCCTAAAGTTTGCGGTAAGCGTTGACTTTAAGAGGTAAACATCAGGCTATATATGCATGTATGTATGTATGTATGTACATATATCCGTACATGACTTCATGTTATTCATATGTTCATATGTTTATCTTATGAACGCACTTCGCATGGTATTTTGTGCATTGATAACAAAGGAATTCGAGCGATATATCGATTTTCCAAAAGAAAAAAACGATAAAGTGCTTTGGCTGTTGTAATCACGTTTATTAGAAACTATTTTATTGTTACTAAGCGAATCAACTAACCTTAAACAACACAAAAGTTCCAAGTGCATCAACTACCGCACACAAAGATCTGCACGTTGACTGGTCGAGCACGGCGTCAATGTAATAACAATTCTGCATAATGTGCGGCATACGGTGCGAGTAATTGTAGTGGCTGTGAGAATCTCGTATGTACTTTATTAAATTTTAAACATGAATGTGGCTCAATAGTTCGGTTATTATTATGTTTTGCTTTATTGAATTGCTGCTTTATTTTTTTATATACATAGGTATATTTATTTATTTCTTAATTGCATTAATTACACGATTTTTTATTTATTTTTTGTTTAATTATTTCAGTTTGCACAGCTTTGTGCGTATTTAGTTGTTGCGATAAGGTATTGTCATTTGATTTTTAATGCAATTACTATTATTGTTTTTTCTTAGTAAACCCTCTTGCATGCAGTAAGCCATTCATGTGAATTATAGCAGTGCTGTTATAAAGGAATAAAACTGCTAACAAGAGCACCGATAACCATCCGAATAGAAGCATTGCAACGGATATTACTAGCTAAATGCGTTATAATAACACCGATAGGATATTTTTACAATGCAATTTTTTCTACTTAACAGTGATTTTTAAAGTGACAGTTGCTTGTAAATGCTTAGACTGGAGCACTATTTCAGCCACTCTTTTTTATTCCTTGTCACTATCCCAATCAATATAAACCACTGCTGCCTGTCTGCTGGCCCGTCCCACCATTATGCTCCTCGTTCTCTTTTGTTGTTTTGTTGTTAACGTAAAACTTTTTTCTCGACAGTAAAAGTCTCAAACAAAAGAAAAATTTTAAAAAACACACGCCTTACTCTGAAATAAGAGTCAGTAGCACCTAACGGCATACGGCACACATATAGGACTGTAAGCGTCCAAATAATTTGCAATCGAAAAGTATGCGTTTCACTATGGTAGGACAATCATCCCCAACACCTACACAGCCGAAAGCATTTTCCGAACAAAAAGAAGAGAGAGAGAAATAAACAAATGAGAAAGCTTACGAAGTGAAAAAATAAATTATGACAAAATTTACATACAAATATATGCACATTGAAATATGATAATTATTTCAGTTATTTTATTTGTTCGCCAAATTAAGTTAATAAATAAAATAATAATCGTAAATTATTAATAATTATAAAAGATAAAGGTTGTGTTCAATATAATCATAAAGTAACTTGGAATTTATAATAAAAATGTTAGCTATAAATTTAATGATTTGTATTGACTTCATAACATGAATTATATACATAATAAATAAGGCTAACTGTCTCATAAACAATTACCTTTTTAACTTTTTTCTACCATATGGCCATAGTGGTACTGGCCATCAACAAGTTTTATTTAAGTAATTTTTAATTTTTTAATAACATTTATTTAAAAAAATAATACTTTCGATATACCATGCATTTAATGAAATTTTTAATCTGAATTGTATGATAATTTTATTACATAAATAATTTAAGCGCGTTTATAAAAATAGAAATGTAAGCAAGTATGTGGGTGCATATGGATATTATGAAACTAAATTTCACTTTTTTCGACTCGTAAATGCCGTGACCTCAATACGAATCATCAACACCACTGATAACACACCATCAGAGTAACAACTATTAGGCGCAATGCCATCCCCGCCAATATCAACCAACATCTCTGCAGTGGCTGCTGCATAGGCAAGCATATTTGAGAATGTTGCCAACACCACCAAGCATCGGTAAATTTACTTGCATTACAAATGTGCATATGGTCGTCATGTCCGCCGCGTCTACGAAACCACGCCATTGGCATCACCACATGTTCAACATCACGGTCAAGGACGACTGTATAATGGAATGGGAGCACATGGAAATTTTACTTGGCCCAGCAAATTCCAAAAGCAATCACTTCGCATATTGGCACTGTTTGGACTCTTCGTTTACCGCTGTTATCCTCAGAATGCAATGCGACCAATGCAGTATAAAGGACAGAGTAGGTCGATGCAGATTGTTTGACAACCATTCCACTAAAACACTCGGCATTCCACCATTGCTATTAGCTGAGTGTTCCGTGTTCGTGAAAACAATTATGGCACAGTGTTTATAGAATGTCATTTGTGTTTTAATTCCGTTCGAGTATATATTTTCATCTCACTGTTAGCTTAAAAAGACTAAGTGTTATATGGTATCAACACTTCTCTAAAACGTCAACAATATAATACAGCATGAAGTGCTTAGTTGTTTGACTAAACTATGAACAAAAAACTGAACCAATTAATATGGTTAACGTAATGTCAACTTTTGCATGAGAAGGAAGAATGAATCTAATATGGACTCACACAAAAATAGAAAAGTATTGCCAAACAAGTAAAAAGGCTAGATTGTTTTACCTAAACTGTCACCCGGAAAGTGTGAAACTGGTCCAAATATCCAATTGCTATGCAATTGCTTGCGCACCATACAATGTACTAGACCCTAAAATTGTGTAGAGAATGAATACCCTGTATTTACTAATTTATGTAAATTTAATATATATATATACATATATAGACCTACATAAGTGGATAAGAATATATACACATACATACACATATGCATACATTTACATGGTAACCAGTACTGTAACTTCATCATATTCATACTCGTCATTAACTCCGTTGGATACAACGCGCCATCAAAGCTCTTTCTCTCCCAAAAGTTAAAGTCTTCGCAACAATAAGCCAAAAAGGGGGCATTGTTATTGGCGTAGTATTTACAGGCAGACAACTCCATACCAATTGTCATTGAGACCATAGCGTCATCGTTCCTGTTGCACTGCCACCGTAAACATTTGTGTCATAACCTGTTCATTTATATACATATATTTACTGTACACCTACACACCTAGAAGTATAAGCGCATATATACATAATAATGCACATTGCACTTTATGTTGTTTCTACATATGTATGTATTGACTTGCATGCATTCAACATTTTGAACGTCTATGCGTATTTGTATGTGCGCAATGCTGAGAAGTGTATATTCCACCCTACGCTCCCACTCTTCGTAAGTGTAGCAGTCGCGTTAGCAGCATATTGCATCCCTTCGTTTTTGGCGAGTTGGTCGCGGCAAGTGCATTTACCTCTGTGGCTAACACATTCGCCAACATCACACTTTGTCTGCTCTCTCATACTTATAACGTATGTATGCGTACCAATTTTCAATATAGTCCTGGTCGCTAGATGATGAGGTTGTTGTGGGCGGTTTCTACTTCAATTTACCATACATACAGACAAAACTGACACCGTCGCCGGCATCGTAGCCGGATTTCATCGCGAATTGGCCTTGGTAGTCGCGAGCGCGGTTGCAACTCCTGAATAGCTAAATACACTTGGTGGATGTTGATTGCAGGCTGTTGCTTTGAATTGCACGCATGAGTACAAATGTGGTATGCAGATTTGGGAGCAATATCTGCATACCCATAGTAAGGTAGAAATATAAGCACAATAGTGGGAAAGCTGCGGTTGTTGCATTACAGCCGCCGCCTTTTCCAGGGCATGTTACGATGCGCTTTCTACGAGCACTTGCCAGTTTTTATGTTCTCTGACATTGAATGCCGAAGACTGGGCGCTACTCCAACGCCTCCGCCGCATCTATATCACCGTTATTCTCATCGTCGTCGTGTCGTCGGCCTTGCATCCTTGCAGCGTGCAATGTACTTTCGTCCTTGCAGCCTTATAGCTTTTCGTCGTGTTGTTGCCTTGTAGTCATGGCGTATTGAAATCGAAATTGGGTTGCCGTGAAATTTCGCTGTTTGTTGATGAACGACCTACTCCTTGTTGTCGGCATCAATGCTGCCTCTGAAGTTGTACATGTTTTCGTTTTTATGGCTGTTGCTGCTTCTACTGCTGCAACTGGTGTTATGCACTTTGTTGCAAGTGACCAAATTTCAATTGAGTTATTTTTGTTTTCCTTTCGCAGTTTCATCGTTTTGGTTGAAATTCGCTGTTTCGTGTGTCCTTGAGCTACTTCGCTGTTCTTTATGTTCATCATTTACTTTACGCGAACGAATGTATGTATGTACATACATACATATGTTGTATGTTAATTCGTGGGGTGAATGACTTTTTTATTGAATTATATTGCAAGGTCAGGTTTATGGTATATTGTAAACTTTACCAATTTAAGGAAATTCCAAGTGATACTCAAAATTTTGTATACAATTATAAAGTTAGTTTATTATTAGTTTCCCTGTTTTCAATGATAGTGTTATAAAATATAAAATTTCGGTATAATACATAAGATAAAGCTTCACTAAATATTTTATATTTTGAATATATGTGTATGAATAAATGTATATGATGTGTATTCAAAATTTCAAATATTTAGCAATATTTCTACTTTCATTATATTGAAGGTAAATGTGGTTAGATCTATTCTAATATGATTTATTAATTGTGAATTATCATTACTACCACTCAACAAAAATATAACGCTTACTTTTAAAGACAATTTTATAGATATTATATTATACATACAATATTGTATGTTAGCATGCTTGCTTTCGTCGATAATAATAACAATAATAATATTTATATAAATACTAAAATAATAGTAATACCAATATTGCTCTTTACAGAAAAAACACTTATAAAATATAAATGAAAATTATTCTAAAAAAACTTCTCTCCTTTATATCTGTTTTCTACCAGAATTATTTTCACATTATCACATGGAACATGTCCCTAGCATTTAATATTATTAACGACACTACTAGGGACACACGAAATACATACATACATAATAACAGTTCTACCAATATTGCTCTTTATATAAAATATAAAAAAAAAATTATTTTAAAAAATTTCTCCCTTTTACATATATATTAATATATATTTGCATATATCTGTTTTCTACTTATTTCCACATTATCACATGGTACATAGCCTTAGCATTTAATATTATTAACAACACTACTAAGCGCACATGAAATACATACATAAATTCACCAGGCTGCCAAGTGAAATTTTAAACTGACTAATAAATTCGCTTATAGGGCTCCGACAATGTTGTGTTCTCTTTAACTTTTGTATTCACTTTCCTCATAGTACTCCCAGGTAAATACAAAAGCAAACAGACTGACTACTACTACTCATACACACTTGTAAAACATTTACTACTTTTGGACTCTACTTACAAGTTCAGCATAAGCTGTTTGACTGGCGGGCTGACGAAACGAATCGGATTTTGGTGGAAATCGCGACTACGATGAAAATTGAGGCGCGAGTTCCGTATATATGTGCACAATATGTACAAACAAACTTTTACCTTATTGTAATGCAGTCATTTCGAGATGACAGCGGCAATACCGCTGACAGATCCGAATGCGTAAGCGGCGACTTCACGATTACAACTACTACAAATACTATAGTAATACAGTTGCTGTGCTTGGGTCATGTATTAATATGCGACAACGAGTGCTACAATGATTACGATGAAACCGACAACAAAAAACGATTATTTCAAAACGGTAAATTTGTATGTATGCTCATGACATCAGGCAGACACGAATAACAGAAACAAATAAAAACGCATGCTAGTAAAATAACAACTCCAAAATGCACATAAGTGTATATTCAAATTTGGCAGACATAACAACAACAAAAACAAAACGAAATCAAACTAGCAACATATATACGGAAAATGCATATCAAAAAACAAAAGCATTTACAACAACACAATTTCGAAATTTCAAACGTGCGCAGACATTCGTCCAAACACACATTTCTACACCATATGTGTCTGGACTATTATGCACCCAAAAACATTACTCTCCACTTACCTTTGCTGTGTCGGTAGCACATTGCTCATTCGCTCGCTGCATACAATGCGACGCAGCTCTATCGATGTCTACCTGGACCGACATGTGTGTATACATCTAACTTGCAAATTTTCCCGAAACAGTATGCTTGTTTTTACACAGATCATTTCGGCAATTACTCTTTACTATTCATTTTATATGCAAGTTTATACTTCCTTATGGTTACACTCTCAAAGTCGCTACTATTCATATGGGCAAATTTCAATTTTCATTTCTTTTACAACAACCCCATTTTACTATATATATACTTATGTGTCCTGCTCTCACAAATTTTAGAAGCACACATCGCTGGCGTCTCTCTTTCAATTACTCTCAATCGCACTGTGCTTTCATTTTTCCCGCGTGGCGTATACGTAATATTCTCATTTCTCTTTTCTCATATATACAAACATATATACATATAAATTTCTATATATGCATATACGTATTATCTTTTTATAAGCGTGAAACTTTGTATATATTAATAAATATCGGTTTTACTTTCATATATTAATTTTTATTTACATACTTAGTGTAGTATATACACAGTGCCAAGCTTGGCAAGACATTAATTAAAACCGCTAACAAGTTATAGTTCCGCAGGAAATACGAGTATGTTATAAATTTGAATTAAAACTTAATGTACTCTAATGTATACACACTTATTTATGTATTGTATATATCTTGCATTGCGTTTCTTTTTACAAAAAAGAGTAAAAAAAAATTGGAAATACTTCACATAAATTCTAAACAATAAATTGGGTATAAATAGCATTACTTGATACTTATATTAATTTACTATTTAATTAATCCATTACGATTTAAAATCGTCATTTGAGAAGTGCATTAAGCGGACTGAATCATAGATTTCAGCAAATTATTCTGAAAGTTCTGACAAGTGTTCCTACAAACGCACTGTATGTTCTCTATTTGTAAATATGTATGTAAATATGTCTCTGGCATGCGAACTAATTTAACTAAAACTAAAATAATCTAAGTAGATTAAGTCAATGCGGATTTTGGCTATAAAAAGGCAATTCTAAAAGCAGCAAAACTAGGTTCTCCTACTTATCCGCTCTACCCACAAGTTTTCCTACACCTCAGTGGTCGGCTAACACATCGTACACTCGTGCTTTGGTGTCTGTTATTTGCAAATTTTCATTCATAAAATTCAACGCCAAATGCCAAAATCTAAAATTCTAAACAAAACCAATATTCCAATATTGTTTTTTTTTTCACTAGAGCTGAAAACGGCAGACATTCCACCAAACACGCGATGAAAGCCACGTATTAAGAGTGTTAGTAGTGGCACGACTGAGTTAGCAACACAGAAATTTATGCAACATGTTCATTACGCAACTCTAGTGAAAGCGGTTCATTGGCTTTTAGGTTCATATATAGACAACAAACTTCTTAAATTTTTATTTATTTTTATTTTTTTGGAGACATGAAAAATATACACCTTGCAAGCAGAATATATAGTTTTTTCTATGGAGCCTATGGACGATGGCCCTTCATTGGCTGTTATGTACTTAGAGTAGTCATCTTATACACATGTTTGCATATGTGCATTTATGCATAATATATAAGTACACGCACTTGGAAATTTGATAACGATTGACAAAAGGAATATTTAAGCATTGTTAAATTTCTTATCGAAGTAAGCTACATAAAATTTTGGAAATTTTAACTAATCAGTTTTTACAAGTTAATATTGTTTTTATACGTATATACATTTTACTTACAAAACCAAGCTATGTTGTATTTATTAAAATAGTTTAAGATAGCAATATTCGATACTCGTAGCAATTATTTCTCTCTCCAAACTAATTTTAAACTGCTCATTTGATGTCCATATGGAAAGAAATATATGTAAATAAGCGCCTTCATATTGACATATAATACTATTACAAGTATATGCATACATACATATGTATTTCAAGTACTTACATATGTATGTAAGTTTCTGTGCAAATTTTATTTTGTGGAGACTGTACATTTGCACTAAAATTATATAAAACGCATTTTTGCGGCAATGTTTGAATATTTGTTCGATGCTCCACACTCCATATGCACGTATGTAGACACGAAAATGCATGCGTATCTATCTAAATATGTATGTAACTAGGTATGTATATATATATATATATAAATGTGTATGCAGATAAATTGACGATGAATTTTTTGCTGTCAAAGTTGTTGTTGGTTGTGTTTTGTCTAGACTGTACGCAAAATTTATTGTATTAATTGCCATCTCGTTTGTGTTATTGTTGTTTCAGCTGGAGCTACTATCCGAACAACAAATCAAAAACAAAGAAAGATGCTCAACCATTTACTTTTATAGATAGCTTTACATAAAATAAAATAAAATAAATATATTAACATAAACCACATATTCATACACTATAGCACGTACGTAACTATGTATCTACATGAAGGCAGTACACACACACATACATACATATAATACATACAACCGTATGTGGATGGAGGTACACAAATACACATATGTATTGTACATACTTATGCTTACATCCACACTTACTATTTACATCTTTATTAGTTATTGAAAACATCAACCTTCTTGCGATATTCGGAATTATTAAACACTCGCATGCAATGTACTTATGTGCATACAAGTGCATGTGATTATATTGCAATGTGTACAGGTTTTTGCCTTGCAGCAGTAGGGGATCTGTTATTCTTCAATCAAACAACAGAAATACTTGTACATGCTATGCGATAAACTTAAAGAATGCGTAGGAGTCATCTGTCGTTAGCAAGTCGTGATTTTTAGTTTTTTGTATACATTAGACATTATTTTAAGAACCGTTATATTTCTTGAATTGTCAACTACTCAATATTCCAGGACTCTAAATATTATTTGCAAATCACATATTTGCTTATAAGTAACTTGTCTGTCTTCGATTGCGCACATCAACAAGAGTTGTTGCTTTTTGACTTTTACAATGAAACAATTGCAGACTCACATTGCTATGTTTTCGCATTGATTTTTTTATGAATTTCAGTGACGCTAACAAAAATGAGCTTATGATGGCAAGCATGCTAAATATTTTCCTATATACTCGTATTTGAATTTTTTTGCTGTTTCTATTTTCGTTAAAATTAAGAATTTTTATCTTTATACGCTCAGATTCCGGTAGAATCTCAAAAAATATTTTTGACTGAAAGTCTATGTATGCACTGATTTATACATTATTGATTTTCAAAATCGTACAAAACAAATTTGTTCTAGCCAACATTCGTATATGACTTATTCTTCAACAACATTGAAGTAGTAATGGAAAGATATTTAATCAAATTTAATAAAATGTATAAAGTGCTAGAAGACCCCGGCCTAAGGTATAATTAAATTATGTTGAGTAAGCTGTTTAATTTAGTAAAATGTTATTATCAAAATTAATTTCGGCTTTTTTTGCTGTCAATATAACTCGGTTAATAAGCCAGTTACGATTTAAGTAATCATTTTGTGCGTCTGGCAAAATACGGCCAATTAATTAATTTTGTCCGTGTATAATAGTGCTGAAATTGTCTGGCAGTTTAAGGCATTTCGTATTTGGTAGTAGTTAGCAAATGCTAAAAAAAGGGATCACTCGCTTGGCCATCTTGAAGATCGTCCGAAATCGATCTAGCCGTTTCGGAGTTTATATTATATTGGAATTCTCCTATTAAATATTTTATTATATTATCATTACTGTACTTAGGCGTTTCTCTTATGTTCATAAATCCACTAAGACCTCATAAGTCAAAATCAAATTTCACATGACGAATTGCGTCAATGAGGATAGCATAATCATCTTCTCCATGAAAAAATACATGTACCTTCTAATTTTCGTAACAATCGCATTAAACTCGAAACTTTACTTTAAAAGTGAGTCCGCCTCCAAATGTTACAAAAAAAAATTTTTTTTTTCAAAATTTTCTTTTTTTATAATCTACAAATTTGACCCTCAGGCCAAGCAAAAAAAAAAAATTTTCCTTGTTTGCTTCACCCTAATATATAGTTTTATAATTTCCTGTAACAAAGCGTCCCACACCTTTTCACTCCTGGCCCGGTTTTTCTCTTGGCGGCCTTGCATACGCTCGCAAAAAAACCAGCTTATAGCGAAAGTAAGCCTTTGCAGTAAAAGTGCATAAACCATTAAATTATACAACGCATCAAATTATACAATGTTGTTTGACCAATGATAGTAAAACTGTATCGATACTTTGCAGTAGTACGATTTGGGAGTCCTTCTAACCACATACACACAACATTATTATACAAAAGATTGCACCTATATAGTATTCACATGCGATTGTAGTTGAGAAAACAAGTTAAATTGCAACTGCAATATCTTCAATACTTATGAAACTATGTAACTAAAGTTCATATTACTATGGTAAATATTTAGAAATATTTTTTATAAAATTTTGCGTAGTTTTCAATTTCAATTAATAGAAACATGGACAAGTTTAAACGAGCAAACCAGGACAAATATACCTACATGTACTATTTGTATAGACCTACATCAAATCATCTCATTATG